GGACTGGTTGGTGTTAGTATATTATGGGGTTGTTTCAATCGAAAATAGTGACATGTAATTTTGAATCGAGAAAGTTTTCCTGGTTCCTGGTTTTCGAAGATCTTGTAGAAATCTTCAAAATATTATGTGGAAGATCTTTTTGGTGAACCAGAAAGATGAAATAACTATCAAATAAATGAATATTTGGAAAAATAACTTTTCTCCTCAATGTCGAACCTCGGAAAATTCTATTTTCTGAATAATTATTTCCAGTCACCAAGAAAATTCTTCCAGTGGATTTTTAAAACAGACAAATTTTTTAACTGGAGCTGTCAGAATTCCATGAACCTACCTTGAAAGATCCATCACCAGCCTCATACCCAAAAGTATACGACCCATCATCATTGACCTTACGAATTTGCTTGAGGATAGCAACTTGCTCAGTCTGGGTTGATTCGCTGGTCTGTTGATCTGTCACGTTGAGACAACCTGCTGTCACCAGGCAGAAAACTGCCATGAGCCATGGCGTCATCTTGAAAGAAAAAAAAAATCACCGTAATTATCCGATCCACGAGACAAATTGGGTCAACGTGCACTGTCACAGGGGGTTGTACCCGTTGATAATGAAACGTGATAATGTAAGTGACTCTTCAGGTACCTTACAACTGGAAACCATGGTACCCGCACATGCGGTGAATGTTGACAATACCGCGTGGGGTGTCAGTACTCGGTTATATATAGAGTGACACAATAGGAATTACATCCCTTCCCCTTTCTTACGCTCCAGCTCCCTCCATTTTTTTTTCACTCCCGTCGTATTTGCATCTGTGATACTCGGTGAAGACCTTGATATAGAGCCATTCAGAGTCACTCGTCAATTCTCGTAATTAATGAGAGGCTAATGAGACAGTTTTTTCGAAACTCATTTCAAGCGGAAATGAGACTAAACTATGATTCCTCTGGATAATTATGTGACAATAATTACTGCAATTCACTGAAGAAATTAAAGTGAGAGGGAAAAACCCTTTATGTTGAGAAACAATCATTCCTGCTAGGTAAATATACTGGAGGCCAGGTAGTGCCTGAAATTTTTGGCTAAAATCCATTCGACTTCCGATTTTTCTGTGAAACTAATTCGTTTGATAAAAATAATTATTTTTTCCGATTGTAGATACCCAAGACGAAGACATTTCAAG